ACAACGATGCCAACAGTAGCGCAGCAGCAGCAGCAGTAGTAGTAATAGTACTAAACGTAGTAGTAGTAGTAGTAGTAGTAGTAGTAGTAGTAGAAGTAGTAGTAGTAGTAGTGGAAGTAGTAGTAGTAGTGGTAGTAGTAGTAGTAGTAGTAGTAGTAGTAGTAGTAGTAGTAGTAGTAGTAGTAGTAGTAGTAGAAGAAGAAGTAACCAGTCGGTTCCGGATGACGTGACCTTCATGTCATGGAAAATTTTGGCTGAGGGCCGGGTGAAGGAATTACTCGTCAGGGGATGTACACAGCTCTTGGAGGAATATCAGACTCGGGGAGGGGGGGGGGGATTTAGGATGGGGCTCCTGCATGATTCCCACCGGTAAACGAGGGTGGACTGTGCCATCCGTGAGCTCTGACCGGAAGAGCGCCGGTTTCAGGGAGGACGCTGTTTCCATGCTGAGTGCCCTATTCCTGGCCGCCGCGGAGGCACTGGCAGTATGGCAGAAAACTGTATATTACGTTAAAATATTATTGCACTTAGTTATGGAATGGCTAGAGAGATAACATGGAGTCTGTGCAAGGAAATTACCTTAACACAGCATAACAAGTGACGAATATATACAATGGAAAATGACAAAAAGAGCTAAAAAGTTATAATAACATTGCAAAAAGGACGCAAGGAGTCTTAACACCGCACCCGAGTGGCCGTGTGCTCCGGGCCTACAAGCCACACGCCAGGGAAGGTCGCCAATCAAGTAAGCCTAATGCCCTGATTTTAGCCAAGCGAGGCACCCGGATCTAACAGAGTAAAAGTACTGTTGTAGTAGTAATAGTAGTAGTAGTAGTAGTAGTAGTAATAATAGTAGTAGTAGTAGTAATAGTAGTGGTACTAATAATAGTAATAGTAGTAGAAGTAGTAGTAGTAATAGTAGTGGTACTAGTAATAGTAATAGCAGTAGTAATAGAAATAGTAGTAGTAATAGTGTTGTGGTACTAGTAATAGTAATAGCAGTAGTAATAGAAGTAGTAGTAGTAATAGTAGTGGTACTAGTAATAGTAATAGCAGTAGTAATAGAAATAGTAGTAGTAATAGTGTTAATAATAGTAGTAGTAGTAGTAGTGGAAGTAGTAGTAGTAGTAGTAATAGTAGTGGTACTAGTAATAGTAATAGCAGTAGTAATAGAAATAGTAGTAGTAATAGTAGTGGTACTAGTAATAGTAATAGCAGTAGTAATAGAAATAGTAGTAGTAATAGTAGTGATAGTAGTAGTAGTAGTGGAAGTAGTAGTAGTGATAGTAGTAGTAGTAGTAGTAGTAGTAATAGTGTTAATAATAGTAGTAGTAGTAGTAGTATAGTAGTAGTAGTAGTAATAGTAGTGGTACTAATAATAGTAATAGTAGTAGTAGTAGAAGTAGTAGTAGTAATAGTAGTGGTACTAGTAATAGTAATAGCAGTAGTAATAGAAATAGTAGTAGTAATAGTGTTAATAATAGTAGTAGTACTACTATTACTACTACTAATAGTTATTATTATCAAAGCAAGCAACACTCAAAACAGAACGAACAGAAGAGACAGACACGTAGACAACAGACTTAACGTACCAGGAGGAGGAGAGATCGCCGTAGCTCTAACCTAGCCGAACGAAGGCCCTGTTATGTGCTGCCACAGAACAGTTACGTGAATGCCCGGGCCAAGGATACGAGGATACTTCCACGCCAGCCTTTTGCTCCGGTGAGTCACTAAAGGAATAGGCGAATGGTTTGTTACTTTTCGAATGCGGTGTTTTGTGATTGTGGTAAAAATTGTGGGTTGTTGGTTGTGGTGGTGGTAGTAAAAACTGATAGTTACAGATCACTATAACAGTGGCAAAATACAGGAATAACGATACTGATTACAAATTAAACATCCTGTTATTTAATATCCATAGTTATTTCGTTCCAATTTATGAAATGAATTGATATAGATACTCATTGAAAATATCAGGGATATCAGCATATCATTATAGCTTCGATGGCTAGTATCACTTTCACGAACATCAACACGAGAAGGAATGTACAGTATATGATTTAACCGATACCCAGTTTTCTTTACATCTAGGGTAGCCTAAAGTGTATTAAACCATCCCTCTATGATTAATTCCACTAATAAAACTTATGCCTGTTGAGTTTCAGTACAAGACGTGGAATAGTTACCCAGTCATTTAGTTGCTGAGTAAATGGACACCTTAAAAATTCCAAATGCTGACGTAACTCGCCCACTACACCAGTTTACAATATCATACATGAATGCTGTTGGTATGATATTGTTAGGGCACTTGACTCAGAAAAGAAGCGTCGCATTCGAGTGTCTGTTTCGAGAAATGCTGCAAATTTCCAGATGAACGTAGTAAATGAATGGGAGCGGAGCAAAGGAAAGGTAAGGTAATCACACAATCCTCACATGCTGACTGTATGTTCCTTTCTGTTATAAATATTCGTTGATTACTGGACACATCATTACGTTAAGCATT